CCCCCCCCCCCCCCCCCCCCCCCCCCCCCCCCCCCCCCCCCCCCCCCCCCCCCCCCCCCCCCCCCCCCCCCCCCCCCCCCCCCCCCCCCCCCCCCCCCCCCCCCCCCCCCCCCCCCCCCCCCCCCCCCCCCCCCCAAATCTCAGCCGTGTCCCTTCCCTGTGGAGTCAAAATTGCTAGGCTTTAAGATCATGGCAGGAGGGGAGAGACAGAGAACATCATATTCAGGCTTGTGTGACAGAGTTTATGGCAGTTTATTTTGTGAGTTAGGAACATAAGTAATATAGAAGTTAAAGGAAAAAAAAATGCCCCCACTGATCTGACATTGGGTGAGAGCTGATAATAAGCTTTTCACACAGACAGAAACTTTTTCACTGGAAAGGGGAGTGTAGTAAAAGGGTGATGTGTTAGCAGGAAGAGAAGAATTAGTTAAGACTTGGAGTTGGAGTTCTCAGTAGGAGAGGAGATGGCTGATGAATCATGTTGGATTAGGTAGCTTTGATTGCTGTTGAAGTTCTGTCTGTTGCAGAGCAGATCCAGGAGCACTGAAGTGTTCCAGAGTGGCTTTTCAGAGCCAGCTAACTACCTGTGGTATTTATACTTAAGCAGGCTTTGAAAGTAATTTTTAAAATTGTCCATCTGTGGCTGATAATGATTAATAATTTAATTGAGGATCCAGGCTTCATACAGTAATCTTTTCACTTTAAAAAAATACTATTTTCAGAAGTTACTATTCCAATTTAACATGGCTTGCTCAAGGGTACTTCTCATTTTGGATATCATTGCACTAGACACTTAGAACAGAATGCAGTAATGGATCTGTCCAGAGAAGCATTTTCTTTCAGATTACTCCTGCATCCATAAAATACAGTATATATGCTGATATTAATGAGTTTTTAATTGCACATTGGTGCATTGTTAAAACCAGTTGCATATTTTTGTTCTGACATGTATGAAAGAGAGGATCTAGAAGAAATACATTTATTAGGCACACTGCTGTAAGTTTAAATATTCATCAGAATGAATGCAAACAAATAATTGATCTAATTCTGAAATAAAACAGTGATCTCATAAATAACCCCATGCATGTATATAGTATTTATTTATTTTATTTATTTTCACATTTTCATCCTGCTACAATCCAAAGATCTTGGTGGCTATTGTAAGCTGTATAGAATAGCTTACATACTGAAAGAAAAGCAGTGTGAGCAAGTCAAGTAGCCCAGCCTCTAGTGTTTTAGCCTTCACTATTGCTGCCAAATGGGTAACTTTGTTTCTGGATGGCTTCTGTTTAACAGTTCTTTAATTCTTTAAGCTTGTTGCTATATTGGGTTTTATAGTTAGCTAAATTAATGAAGGACAAATCTGTTAATTCTTAATATTCTATGATTAGATGCAGAGATGAAGCATTTGTTAGAAGGTTTCTTTGCTCGAAGGACTGCTCCATCCAAGAGCACTTTAAAGTTAAAGAACCATGAGAGCTCAGGAGATTTGAAGTTGGCCCATCAGCAAATAGCACTTGGATGTGGCACAGTCCAGCATCTTAAAGAAACATATTCCTGCACTGTTTGAAGTATATTTGGGGCTTTTTCTATCATAAAAAGTTATGGTATAAATCTTATAAATACATTATTTTATGATCCTGAACATTAGTATTATAAGTGAGGAAAAACATTTCTCTATATACAGAGAATTCATGACATCCTACTTCTAGGTTGTTGATACATGCTATCCTAAACCAGTCTTCCTCAGTGTAAGAGTTCTCCAAATGTGTTTGTTTCAGCTGCCAGAATTCTCCGCAAAAGATCATATTTCAGACATTGGGTAAATTGCTTTTTTTTCAGTTTTATGGTGGTTTGGTGAGGTGGGAGGACAATTAAGAAAGAGACTGAGATAGCTCATATGTGTTCTTACGTCAGTGCATACACAGCAAGGATATTCATAATCAGGAACCTTTGCATCCTTGCATTTTTTTTCCAGTATTTGTCTAACTCAAACTGCATTGAAATGCATTGTTAGATATCATCACTCTAACAACTTATATCTATGCTTGTAGCAAATGTTTTCATTATCCCATAAACAATAGTTTTGGAGAGGGCATTAGTTGAGAAAATGTCACAGGGAAAAATCTGTTCTCAGTACCATTAATACAGGCATACTTAATCTTAAATGGAATGGGAATCCTCTTTACCTGCTTTTAACTTCTTTAAAAACTGCAGAAAGTTCCATTTGGGATCTAGCTGAATATATGTAGTTTGACACAAAGTGAAAATTTAAATTGAATATTTAAAAATGATTACCTAATTGTTAAACTGATTTAACAATTTGTATGCCACTTTAAAGATATCCTTGTGCCTTGTGCCAATCAAACTGAAACAGTACGTCTTAATTTTTGATGGACTTTGAATCTGCTGGATTAAGTTGCTTTTTCCTTAATTAACCTTTGGATAATGAACTGTTTCAGTCTGGTTTAGGTCTGGTTTTGAGACCAAGTCAGGGGCTGATTACCTTGGAAAACGATGAACAAGAACTGGAAAAGACTTGGTTGTAATCCTCTTGGTTCTGCTTAACCTTTCAATGTCTGTTGTCATCACGGAGCAAAATAAGATTGGAACATGAAGGCATAGGGTTGCAGTGGTTACAGTCATTCCCGAAAGGCTGGTCTCAGAGGATGGTCCTGGAAGTTGCTACTGCACCTCTGGGCCACTAACCTATGAGGTCCTTTACCATTCTGTTTTTCCCTTATGCATCTATATTAAACTGGTAGACTTTCAGAATGTTGTCGTTAGTTACAATATGAGTAACATCTAATCTGTCTCTCCTTTCTATCTGATTCCAAGAAACTTATTGAAATCCTGAGTGATTACCTGGACATTGAAGTTGACTGGATATGGGCTAATAAATTAAGATTGAATTCAGATAAGATAGAGGTGCTCTTGATCAACAGAGCTGATCAGGGAATTGGGTTTCTCCTATGTTGAATAAGGAAAATATAGGTTCCTCATTTGGAGATTTTTCTGTAGTCAACCTGGAGCCTATATTTTCAGAAGTTGGAAGTGATATAAGTTTCTTTGCCCAGCTAAGACTGCTAAACCAACTACATCTATTGGGAAGTTCAGAATCTAGCCAGGATGATATGTGCCTTAATTACAATGTGATTGGATTACAGATGTGGTATATTCTGCTTACAGCTGCCCTTGAAGAATATTAAATATCCAAATTGGTTCAAAAGTAACATCCTAGTTATTAAGGGGTGGGTTATAAAAAGCATGTGATAACCTAATTAGAGTAGCTGCACTGGTTTCTTGTTTAAACTTCTAGTAATCTTTAAAGTTCTTAATATTTTAGGATTAGGACATTCAGAATCTTCTACCTTCTGCCATATTATTTCTGCCAGCCTGTTGAGATCATCTTTTCTGTATGACTCAGTAATCCCTGAGATCCATTTGCCTATGATTAGAAAGAAGATATTTTCAATGCCTTCATCAAAACTCTGAAACCCTCTTCTGTTGGTGAAGACTTTCCTTTTTAGGGATGCCTTCAATGTGTAATCTCATCTGCTGTTTTTTTTAAATTTATTATTTCAAGACTTAAGTATTTTTTGAACATTTATTTTCTGATGTTTTAACAGTTATTAAATAGGAACTGCCAAGAACTCTAGGGAAGATAAATAAGATGAAAATATTTTAAGTCAAAATATAAACCAGAACAAGCTGCTAAATGGAGAAGCCCAAACAATAAGACAGAAATCATTTTAAAAGTAATAGTGAATAAATTATCTTCACTTCTCTAGAAAGATTATTTCTTATTCTGTGTGCTACTGCCAAAAAGGCCTTTTCCATAGTAGTTATTGTATCATTTTGCTTAATAGGGCACTGAGGAGGCCCTGTGAAGAGCAATGTATGATTCAGATAGGAACATACAGAAAAAAAGTGTCTTTTAGGTAGCCTAGACCTAAGACATTTAGAATTTTAAAGATTAAGATGTTTGACCAGGATCCAGTCAAATGGATAAAGTATATATGGTTAAAATATTACTTTTTAGTTTTTCAATCCTATTCAGAAACAATTGCAGTTTTTGAACAATTTCTAAAAGCCATGGTATGCCTGTGTGACACCACTGCCTCTGCAAGCTGCAGTGGTTGCCAGTTGGTTTCTGGTGCAATTCAAGGTCTGGCTACCACCTATAAAGCCCTTCATGGCATATGGCCTGGTTATTTGAGGGGCTGCTTGTTTCTGATCCAGCAGAATGAATGTGTTTCAAGTCCCTTCAATTGGATAATGCCATCTAGTAGGAACCTAGAAGCATGCCTTCTATGCCATGGCCCCTGCCCTTTAGAACAGGATCCCACCAGAGATCTGTATGGCTCCCACCCTAATGGTGATCCAAAAGACATTGAAAACCTGATTATTTTCCCGGGGGGTAGGATGGTTGGTGAGATTACGTGCTGTTTTGTATAGTTTTCTAGACACATATCATTTGTTCTATTATAATTCTGCCTTTTTATAATGTAAAGCACCCAGAGACTTTGGGAGCTGGTCATTGTTTAATTCCATGTAAAAAAAAGCAGAATTTCCAGCAGCTGCCCCACCAATGACTTAAGCATCATTTTGCAGCCTCACTTAGAAATAAAAATGTAGATTTAGAGAGCTTTGTCAGTAAGAGGTTGATCCTCGGTCCAATAGTTTCTCCTGAAGATTTGAAGTTTCTTGAACTGGTAAGACATGACACTGAGGATTGAGGCAAAAGTGAGAAATGTTAAAACTGGATAGCGGCATCTTTTGTAAGCAAGAGATTCTCCTGATTTTTGGGAGGTTCTCCTCATCCATAGCCCAAACTATTCAGAGGGTATCAGGTCTCTCTTTCTCCCCTTCTCTTTCTCTAAAATTTAAAAAAAAAAAATCAGGAGAGTAGAAGATTGGTCAGACAAATATACTATTTGTGTTTCTCTGGATTTAAGCTGGTGAAAAAAATGAACAGATATAAAATGTTTCCTCCTCAGGGAAAGATCATATTTGTCGATTCGTTGGCTGTGGGAGAAATGACAGATTTAATTATGTGGTCATGCAATTGCAGGTGAGCTTTTTTACTTTTATCACTTTGTGTAAATTGTTAATGAATCTCTATGGTTTGTCCTCCTGCACATAAAGAAATCTGTTTTTCTCTTTAAGTGGGATAGACTCTGCAAATGAAATCCCAGATATACAGTATGTGTGATTTTCTGTAAGATTATCTAGTTTTGCTGTTTCTTTTCTGATGTTCAACTTTTTCTCTGAAAATATCTGTTTGTGAACTGATTGTATATTATTGTGTATTTTCATTCCATTTTTAACCTCATGAGTTTTATTAATTTTTAAAGAGATTAAACAAGTGCTTTTGCTAGCTGTGGAATTTTACTCTGCAAAAGTAGACAAGCTTTAGTCCTTAGACCAAAATCTACAGGTTTGAATGGCTTGAAAAGTAGTACTTAGAAGAATTTGATTACTCCAGGATATAATGTTTTTAAAAAAGAAAGAAGAGAAAGTTGGAACTGAGCTAAATAGCTTCATACTTTTTCAGAGGAGATCCTTTTGAAACAAAAAGTAGAGAAAAGGTTGCCTTATTGGTTTTAACTCGATTGCTAATTCTACATCACTACATCCTAATCTCCCCAAGTCCTGCTGGGCTGCCTCATCGAGGTGGGTCCTGGGAGGGATGAATGAAGAACACTGGGTGTATATACCAAGAGTATATATTCTCAGTAGGGTCACCCAAGATGTGAAGGTCATCTCAGCTTCCCAGCTAAAGCAAGCAGCAGTGATATAGAAAGATGCTGTAGGCAGATGATCACTTTAGTGACAATGGCAAAGGCATCAATTCATACTTTTACAGTGTTATGGTTTTTATAATTCAGGGTTTTTATTGTTTTTGTGAGTTGCCCAGAGTTGTATTTCAAGATGGGCGGCCGTACAAATCTTTTATATAAATAAATACTGTGCAGGAGAAGGCAATGGTAAACCATTTCTCTATTTTTATCAAGAAAACCACATGTGTAGAAAATATTAAATGATTGATGATACAGTGCCAGATAATGAGCTCCTTGTGATTGAAGACTGTAATGCCAAAGTTGGAAATATTAAGGAGGAAAGTGTAGTTCTCATCAAACAAATCAACCCAGAGTCCTCACTTGAAGCACAAATAACCAGGCTCAAATTATCCTACTTTGGACACATTTTGCTGAAGAAGGTGGAAGGAAAGAGAGGAAGAGGACAAGCAACAGCAAGATGGATGGACTCAATTACAGTGGTGATGGAGGCACGGTTGAAAGACCAAATTAGGGATAAATCATCATGGAGAAAATCTATCTATATGGTCATTAAGAGTCAACATCTATTTGATGGCACATAATCAAATCAAATCACATCCTAATCTCTTTGCTTAATTTTTCACAGTGATCTAACACAAGGATAGACATCCTTTTTGGACTTTGGAATTTTGGGAATATGCCATGGGTACTTTCATAAAATGGCTGTCATGGGGGTCTTTTAAAAAAATGACTGCCCAGGTAGACGTAGCCAGAGACAAGGTGCACATTTATATGTAATTAAACTAGTGAGGTGTTTCTGCCACAATACCTAGGCTCCTTTAGATTGTTTCTACCATTTCTGCTTGTTCTTTTCTGCTTGTTCTTGCCTATTTTTTGGCAGTTTTTTTCTTGTAGGAAATAGACTAAACCAAAATACCAAGTTACAGCCATTTTATTGGTCTATATGGATCTAAAGGCATTTTGCTTTATAGTGTTGTTGTTGTTATTGTTATTGTTATTACTATTACCATTACTATTATTTGTAGTTGAAGAGGGGAGCATAATGGTTCCCATAACCAGTGCTTTTGGTCCAGCATGTATTTTTTAAAATAAGTAATGTAATTCACTTGGCATATCTTCTTTTTGAGACTGCATCCTAAAAAAGTTTAGCCTGTAGCAGCTAATTAATTAAATAACGTAGAACCTATGAAATGTTCAATTAAAATGAGATTCTGTAACTTATTTTATCTGTTCATGGGTAGAGAAGAGATAAGGTCATTCACTGATACCAAAAAAGCAACCATTTTAGTACTAGGTAAATTTCCCTGAAAAAGGCATCTATGCTTGAATGGAAAAGTCTGGGCCCTCCTAGTCAGGTGTAAGTAAACAGCAGTTGACTTAAGTTCTTCATGGTGCAGTTAAACATAACATCTTTCAATTTGAATGCATACTTAAAAGGTCAGTGAAGAAACTAAGGCTGAAAAGAGGTTGAAGATTTCAGCAAGACAAAAATCTGAAACACACCATCAAATCATCCATGAAGCTCTTAACAGGAAAGAAAGTAAATGTTTTGGAATGGCCCTCACAATTTTCAGACTTCAATATTATTAAAAATCTATAGAGAGATCTCAAACATGCAGTGAATACAAGAAATTCTAAGAATATTTCTGAGCTAGAAGAGTTCTACAAGGAGGAATGAAAAAATCCAAAACCAAGAATATAGAGGAAACATTTGGAAATTGATATTTCTGCCAAAGGCGGTGTTACAAAGTACTGACTGAGTGGGTGTTCAAACCTGCCGTATTTACTGTTTTCTTATTTTGAATCTGCAAACTGCCATAAGTCATAAGTATGCATTAAAATTTGCAGAAATATATTGTATTTAACTTCGTTCTATGCAGAAATTGTCAGCTTCTGTTGACTTAGGGGTTCATGGAAGCATACAATTTGACCAGGAGTGCCTACATTTTAATCTATAACTGTATATTCAGATGTCACAATTGAAAAGTTTCTCTTTAATCATTAGTTGTTTAACTTAGAAAGGCATAGCAGGGGGAACTGGGAGAGGGCTTCTCATGTTTTAGCAAGACTTTAAAATAGTATAATAATGAAGAGCTAGCAAAAAAAGTGTACTTTTTTTCTAAAGTAATTTGATATTTTAAGTACTGCAATGCTGTCCTCCTTAAATTTGTCAGAAAAGAAGAATTCTAATGTGCAGTCAGTTTATCTGTTAAATGCTGATTATCAAAAGTAGATGAGGGGAAAAAAAGTCTCTGGATTTTAGCATTCTTGTTTCTTTCAGGGGCGGAACTTGGCAGATCTGCGTCGAAGCCAAACTAGAGGGACTTTCACAATTAGTACTACTTTACGTCTTGGCAAGCAAATTCTGGAATCTATTGAGAGCATTCATTTGGTGGGATTTTTACATAGAGATATTAAGCCAGTGAGTTTCTCCATGTATCAAAACCAAGAATTTGCTTAAGTTGCAGTTGTTTACATAGCATAGCAATTTATTAGAGCTAGATAAATTTAATCTGAAATTATAAAGATATCTGGATTTATTTTAAAAACTAATATTTAATTGTTATATAGTTATATCAATTTTCAGTTAATATCATCTCAACAACTAATTATTTTATCTAATAATTGCTATGGGCTTAAAAACAAGTTCTTAATGTAAAAAAACTAAAGATGATTGCCTCATCTACTGAGAATATATTAACATTTTTCTGTAGTGGAGTCAGCAGATTTTACAGAGGGTGTCCCCCTCCCATTTGACCTGGAAGCAGGGCTAGAAACAATTTCTGACATTCCTTCCTGTGCAAAGAGATGTCTCCTTTCCCAGTTCTGGGCCTGTCCGGCCCTGAAGAACATGCAAGTCCATCAATTCCTCCAAGGACTCTCTCAGTCTAGAGAGGTTCCATTTTTTAGTTTTTCCTTCCCCCCCCCCTTTTCTCTTACTGAATGTGTGACAAAATTATAAACAAGTTCATGGACAGCATCTCTCCAGTGGCTGGGTCTCCATATATGTACCAACTTGTCCTCTCCCCCAGAGATGCCAGCTAGCACTGCCGTTGTGGAGTCACTGGCCATAAGCCCTACAACTATTGGAGGGCCTGTTACCAGGGAGATCACCTTGGCACAAGAGATGATTGAAGCTCACAGAGTGATTTCTCCCATTTGCTGAGGGAGCAGGCATCTCAACCACTGCTCCCTCTACTGGGTCTGCCAGGTAACATCCATTTCTGAAGCTCTCATGGTCTTCTGCTCCCTGAAGATTCCAATAGGCCAAATCAGGCCTCATCCTCTTTGGATTAGGTCCATGCTAATGACCGCTTATCTCTTTGGAAAGCTGGATTGAACTGTGGGGAGGGGGAGAGGTGGAGAAAGGGGAAACAGCACTGTTCCATTTCCCTCCTCCCCTTTGCTCCTTTGAAACCACCTCTGTGGACCCTCACCCCAGAGGTCAGTGCCTAGACTCCCTTCACAAGGAGAAGAGCTAGACAATCAAGTGAAAAACAGGTACCCAGGCCCCACCTGTTTTTGCACATGAATCAGAGAATTCCCTTCAGGACCAGTCAGATTGGGAAGAAGGGAAGCTATCCCTGGAATAGGAAGATCCACAGTCAGTCCCCAAATCCATCAGGCTTTTGCAAAAACAGACTTCTCAAGAAAGTCTGCAAGGTTCTAGATCTCAGGAAACCAGAACCCCTTGGCCTCATAGAACCCTTAGTGGATCTGTGAGCAACAGAGATGTTCCCTGTAGCTAGCAGTCCTATCTCAACAAGTCTTTGAGGCAGAATGGGGGGTGGGAGTGGATGTGATGACTGTGAAAAGTGGCTCCTCTCTGTCTGCTGAACTCTGTCCTAGATCTGCTTAACCTGCCCAGTGCATACCTTCATGCCAGCATTGGTTTGGGGGAGCATAGTAAATAAAAATGGGAAAGATACCTGCAAACACCCAGAGGACAGGAAAATGGAAATCCTGAAGCACAAAAAACACCCCATCTCTCTAGAGCCTAAGGAGCATAGACAGGGATGAACAAAGTAAGCAAGGCCCCTGCTTTTATGGTAGGTGCTCATCAGAACAATGCCTAGTTCACAGTCAGAGGCATGGCAGCTAATGTGGTCACCAGAACACAGGACCATTTTGGATTTAGAGTCTAATATTGGGCCCATTCAAGGGGGGAAAGCTGCTTGAAGAGACCCAAGACCAAAAGAAAGTTCTACTCTTGGAGGCCATGAATTATCTATTCAGCATATTAGTATGGTCTTGTCTGAATCTTCTGAGTTAGAGGCTGAAGACTGACCCAACGGATTGGCAACCTGAAGAGACAGCAGGCAGATACCTGCACTCACTCCAGGAGACAGCCTGAGAAAATGACTGATTCAGACAATGAGAGGCCAGATTCTGGCAGGGTACCAGCCCTGAGAACATGCTGGCAGCTATGGTAACCTGGTGCTGTATAAGAGCAAGTCACTCAGTACCAATTCAAGACCCTCTCATTTGTCCTGTTGTCAGTTTCTGTATTTTTCATGAATGTGAAAATGACTTTTGTAGCTTACCTCAGATCCTGGGTATACACATATTCTCCTCCTTAAATGATCTGTTCATCCAATCCCCATAGATTGAACAGGGAAGAAAGGACATTTAGATCACAATGCAAATCCTTGAGGACCTGTCTGTTTTAATCAATGAAAATAAGAACATCTTTCAATTAGTTACCCACCTCAATGCCATTCTGGGCACAGGAAAAGGCCTTATCTTGCAAAAGGAGATAATCCAGCAATTAGTTGTGTTTGTTCTTCAGACCATTTGTCCAGACTTCATGACTCTTGATAGCCTCCAGGCCAGATGATCAGTACCATGGCCAAGATTCCATTCCTCTCTAATTGATGCTCTTTCCCTTCCTGAACCAAATATCCCTAAGATCTCAGAAATGCCTACCAATGAAGGTGAAGAATTTTGTCAAGTTGTGGCTTTCTGGAATCCTATTCAGGGACAGGGGCATATGTCTCTCCCTGCAGGTCCAGCTGATCATAGTCATCAGCATCAGGGAATAGGATGCACACTCTGTAGACCAAATATCCCAGATAATCTGGATGAAACCCCAAGACAGCATAAACATCTTAGGACTGTATGCAGTATGAGTAGCTGTGAGCAAGGTCCAGACTTTCCTGAAATACCAGTACTTCCTCCTCCTCATCTGGCTAAACATTATCACTTTGTGCCTAGAAACAATTTTCATGACTAAGATCACGAATTTCTTTTGGGGTTTTAATCTTTGAATTAGAGGCAGGAAGTTATCCTCCCTCTTTCCCAGTCCTAAGACCCAATTACAGAAAGTTTGGCACAAGGTGGATACCAACTGAGCCATTAGGGTCCAACTGAATAGGACAGAGGAATTCAAATTCTCAGACAGCCTCCTGGTTTCCTTCCCATCTGGGCTGCAAAGCCTCACAGACTATGATCTCCAGGTAGAACAAGGCTTTCCTCAAGCTATCTTATGACACTAAAAATAAGTGAGCCCCACAAGGAACTGTGACAGAAAAGCACAGCCACCTTGACACTCATGCCACTTATCCCCCTAGGAGACATATATAGGACTGCCACATGGTCCTCTGAATCTTCTTTAATGTCATTATAAGTTTAATTCTTAACACCTTGGCTGAAGGCTTATGGCATGAAGGTACTTCAGAAAATAGTTTCTAGCAAGGGCTAGTGGTCCTCCAGGTGTATTGTTCCAACCTGAGAGACAGTTCTGGCATGCCCCACTGTTCAGTGCCCTGGATCCATTGTAAAAAAGCAGTATTTGGTCTTACTATGAAAGTCGTTTTTCTACACTAGAGACAGGGCATCCAGTCCACCCCATCATTAAAAAGAGGGAGAGAAAGAATGAGGAAATACAGACCCACATCAGTATTGCAACTAAATGAACATAGCGTTAGAAGAGTACTTTGGACATACAGAAAGCAGAGAGAATCTGTGTTTGAATGGAATGTAACCTTTCTGCAGCCTTGCCCAACAAATGAACTCTTCTAGTGATCATGATGGATAATAAGCTTACTGAACTATATGATAAATACTCAGTCTAATGAAGTACAAACAGTCCATCCAGACACATAGGTGCTTAGAAAGGCAACAGCATGCTAGGATAGACTAAAAGAATGATACACCAAAGAGTAGGAAAAAGATCAAGTATGACTGATGGGTAAAAGGGCCAAGAGTCAGGACATGAACTCGCATCATCAAGAACTGTCCAAAGACAACTGGACTCTTTCCCAAATTGTCTTCCAAGTTGTAGCAGTATCCTTGACAAAATTGATGAAAACCAGCTGGTCAGAGTCCAACACTTTTGAGTTATAAAATAGAAAATGAAAAGAGAAGCTCTGCATATAAGCTGGGAGAAGTGTACAGGGATATGCATGTAGAGCTTCTCCACTGTATAGATTGCCAGTTTGCTGCTTTTTGCCTGCTGCTTCTATTGCTATCTTTTCTACACTGAAAATCTTTCTGACATCAAGAAGCTACAAGACAACTTTTGGTAATTCTCTGATTACTAATTTAGATAACTTATCTGCTCACATTAGTTGGGAAAATCATGTTGATTTTGTGTATCTCTAATTAGTTGTGATGGAATTGAGAAATTTACCAAAGGGACAACTGTATTCAAGCTTTGATTCAATAAATCTATGAAATTATTGTACTGTGCACCATTTCCTTCTGTGCTGATTGTGCCTATTGGGAACAAAGATTCTGAGAGGAGAGAGAAACAGTTCTCTATGTTCTCCCCCTTCCAAGACATAGTATAACATATCTCTCCTTTATTTTCAACCCTTCTCATTTTTTTTTCCTTCTACTGAATTATTTCTGGCTTGTCATTCTGACACTGGGAAAGGAGATATCTCCTCCCACAGGAAACAACCTCAGAATCCTTTCTAGCCCTCTCTGGATCCCATGGAGATAGGTAAATGCTGTAGCCCTATCAATGTATCACTCTTGCTTTTTCTCAAGCTGGGAAGAAAAGCTAGATTCAATATTGCACAATTAATTTTCTCTATGTAATAAAGGACTAACCATTCTTTCTAAGGAGTGAGCCCCACTGAAAATGTTAGGACTTGCTTCTAAACAACAATGGAATTGTGGTATCAGAACAATTGTGTTTTTTAAAAATACGTTTTATTTTTAGCTGAGCATATGCACCATATTAATACAGAAGCAACCATAATAGTCCTTAATTTCAATATCCAATCAATTCACCAACTGTTTTTCTAACTGAAATATATGAAATGAAATGAAAGCTAAAATTACAATTTTCATCTGTATATTATAAATGTAAGATTTTTTTCTTTTTCTTTTTAGTCTAATTTTGCTATGGGACGCTTTCCTAGCACTTGGAGGAAGTGTTATATGCTGGATTTTGGCTTGGCACGTCAGTTTACAAACTCATGTGGGGATGTCAGACCAGTAAGAAATTTTAATCAAACTTTTAAAATAATACCTAATTCAGCATGTTAATATGACTATTAATATGAATTATTTAATCAATATATTTTTCAGCATGGTTTAAAAAAATCAGGCTTACAGTATATAATTTTGGCAGTATTGTAAAGAAGAAGATGCAATCATGTTCTAGTTTTATCCTGAGCTATTGTCATACCATGGAATCTTAAGCAATGCTTAAGAAAGCAGTAAAAACAGCTGCTAATACTCTGTTTAGGAGGAGAATGAGATTTCACCTGATAAATATTAAGAATACATAAATTAGCATTTTTATTACATAGTATTTTTTATTACATGGGGTTGTAAAACAAAATTGGTATTGGTCTTAAAAGGTTTTGGCATTCATTTCAGTTTGTGGTTACCAAGGAAGTGGATAGGATTCTCTGCTGCATGAGGTCACCCACCTGTGGCCTGACTGTCTGCTCTACCTAGTTTCTTTGGGTGGTTGGAGTGTGTGCATGGCTGGTTAGTTTAGATAGGTTATACTTTTTCTTTTTTGGGGGAGAAGAGAACATGCCAACTGCCTTGAAAGAAGCAGCAATGTGCCTGCTCTTAAATAAGTTCTCCCTTCATCCAACCATCTTGGACAATTTTGCCCATTCTGGGGGCCATGTCAAATAGGACTGCTCCCAGAGTGAATTACACAGCTCTGAATCCAGCCCTCAGATTGAATCAAGTATCTCTGCATAGTTCTAATAAGAACTTATTTAGTTATTTCTAAGAATGAAGGAACACATAAAAATTAATTCAGATTCTTCCTTTGCTCCCATGATTATAGATCTGAGATGGCTTTGAGATACTCTCTAGTCACTTTTGTTAGGGAATAACTTCTCCCAGCATCTTGACAGTCTTCCACACTAGAATCTGGATTCTGACTTTCCACCAGCTACAAACCCTATTGAAAGTGCAGTTTTCCATCCGCTTCAGTTAATTCCATGTAGTCTTCCATCAGCTTCTTTGACAAATGTAACTCAAGAGTTGCAAATGTCCTTGAGCTTCTCTGGAAAGAAATAATAAAGTTTCTTTCTTTTCGTTTGATGGGCAAACTGTTTGGCAGAACAGTGAAAAGAAAAAAAAAATCAGTAGAAAGTTACCTAACAGGCAGGCAAATGGTCACCAATTTAACGGGGATTAACATTTTAATTAAACTTTGCATTTTAACCTACTGTTAGAATAAATGCACTTAATTTACTGACATTGTGATCCTAAGATAAATATAATGGACATTAAAAAAATAGCTTCCTATATGGGCTGGGCAAGGTTTTATTTCTGGCAGGGCTTCCCAAACTTCTTTTTTTTCAGGAATCCTTTGTTTTCCAAGGGTTTCAGAATAAAACTGGTCACATGTTTCACTAAATTTGTTCATTTGGATTAATAAAAAAGGGTTCTTTAGCTGAATATGTTTCAAAATTCATGTAGATCAGCAGTTCTCAAACATTTTAGTCTCAGGTCCCCTTTACATTCTTAAAAATGATTACAAATTATTGAAGATCCCAAAGAACTTTAGTTTATGTGAGTTATATCTATAAATTTTTGCTATGTTAGAAATTAAAACTCAGAAATTTAAAAATATTTATTTATTTGACTTTGTGGACCCCAGGGTCTCCTTGGTTGTCATCTTTAAAGCCGTCCATGGTTTGGGCCTGGATATCTGGGGCACTGCCTTCTCTCAATAACATATGCCTGTCCAATAAGATCCATTAGGACGGGCTTGCTACATGTTCCCATGATTAGAGACTGCCATCTTAAGAGATCACATAAGAGTGCATTTGTCAGTTGCCACCTCCTTCCTCTGGAATAGCACTCCCTCCAATGTGTGAGCAGCCCCTTTCCCTCTGGTGTTTAGGAAGCTGCTAAAAATATGATTGTTCCCTAAAGATAAAGAACTGTTTTAATTGTGCTTTGTCATGAGATTGGGTTTCGTTTTATTACTAATGTTTTTATTCATGACTCCTGGTTCCATAAGAATATTCCTGACTGTTACTTTTTTTAATGTAATATAAGGGTTTAATCCCAATTATGAATTGGAAAGTTGATGGCACTCAATTGCTAGATTGGAGTGGTCTGTAAATAAATAAAATAAATAAATGTATTGGCAAACTTATCCAAAAGACCGCGCTCTTCAGGTACCTTTACAAAACTTGGTTATAATTATTTGATTAATTGATTGATTGATTCATTTCTACCCTGTCATTTTGTTTCTTCAAAAATCAGGAAGTCTTGCTGTGATAAGAAAAAATACAAAATATAAATGAAAACAACAATTAAAATCAGAATTAAAATTAAACATAAGAATAAATTAACAAAAGCTCAGCAAATTATTCCTAAATATCAGGAGAGGGGGTCAGATGGTCTTCTGTAAGGAGCACAACTTGGGAGCCATGCTGGAAATCTTTTTTCATGTGCCAAATAGTTGAGCTTCTGGCAGTAGGGGATCTTCTGGAATGCCTAGGCAGGTATGTAGTAGGAGAGGGTATTCTGCAGATAGTCTGGCCCCAAGCCATTAAAACCTCTAAAGGTCAATACCAACATTTTGACCAGTGCCAGAAGGCAATTGGTACCCAGTGCAGTTCTTTCAATATAGGCACAAGTCAGCAGTTTAGCTACCACATTTTGCACCAATTGCAATTTCCAGATGCTGTTCAATGTATAGCACATTGTAATAATCAAGGTAGGTTGTAATCAAGGCAAGAAAAACTGTTGCTAAGTCTGGTTGGCTCAGGAAGGGTCGCACTTGACACTGTAATTATTGAAATAAGCTACCTTGCCATAGGTGCTGCTTGTAAATTCAGGAACAGCTGGTAATCAGGGAGCACTTCCAGGATAATCCCATCCAGAACAAGCCCTCCTCATTTCCAGAATCCAGCTTTATCCAACAGTATCTTTGCCTTGTCTGAATTTAATTTAAATCTGTATTCCCTCATTCAGCCTTTTACCAAAATAAAGCAACATTCAAGGGTACTCTTTTTTCTTTGGAATCTGGAGGTAAGAAGAAATAGAGCATACTGACATCACCCCTCTCTGAAGATCCATATGACCTCCCCATTAGTTATTTTTAATAGAGGTTAAGCTAAAGTCCTGAGGAACATCATAGGTCAGTGGTCCCATAACATGACCTTCTGGACATGACCTAACAGAAAGGACCAGAGCCATTGTAAAACAGTGCCCCTGGAGCCCAACTCAACCAGGCGGTCCAGAAGGATACCATAGTTGATAAGATTGAAAGCTTCTGTTAAATTTGGGAGAACTAGCAGGGATGTACTCCCTCCATCTAGGTAACAACATAGTTCAGCTACAAAGCTGACCAAAGCTATCTCACTATTATATTGCAAATGAAATCTCTGTTGAATGTGTTGAGAAAATCAGTTTTATCCAAATGAATCTGGAGTTGCAAGGCGATCATTTTCTCAATCACCTTGACCAAGAATGGGATATTTGAGATTTGCTTATAATTAAAGAGATCTTCTGGGTTGATAAGGATTTTTCAGTAATGGTCTTATAATAACCTCCTTTAAGCATAAAAGAATGCATCTGGAACAGAATCACCTCCTTTAACTATAAAGCCAGGCTTTATTTGTTTGTTTAATCAGCCAGTAGGGGCACAAATCTTGCAGACAAGTGGTAGCCCTCATCTCCCCACTTAGTATAACTATGTACATCCTTGAGATCTAGAAGCTGAGAAGAACCCATGTGAACCTGACAAGTAATTACCAAGTTTATCTCCCTATGACCTCACTTGACCTCAGATTTGTCAAATTGAGCCAAATCCAACGGACTTGGTCTGCAAATAATTATGAAAATAGATTTCTGCCAAAGGTGAGGCAAGCCTGGAAAATGTGATTTTGTATGGCTTAGGTTTAATGAATTGTTTAAAAATTGAATCCTAATGTTGAAGATAGATACATGCTATCTATATTCTATCTGTCTGTCTGTCTGTCTACCCACCCATCCACCCACTACACACAAACCCACACATATACACACATACACACACACATCTTTAAATTGTCTCACACACACGCACATACAAACTCACACACACATATGAATTAGATATAACTTAGGTATGGTGGGATCTTATTTTTAGAGTTTTTAGTTTAGTTAAGGTTTTGTTTTCATTTTTAGGTCTTTTTGTCTTTTTTCTTTTTTCTGTAGATAATTTAATATCATTTTTTCTTTTGTTTACTGACTATTTAGCTTTTTATATAATAGGCTAGGTTTCTTTTTTAAAGTATATAGCATTTTGTGCAATAGTAATGTAATTATATAGTTATATTACTATTTTATTAATATACAATGTTACCAACTAATAATTAAGGTTTTTAAAGAAATGTTAATTATAATGTTCCTAAAATCTAATATTAAATAATTTTTTAAAAAATTATAACAATTGCTCACAGCAAGCCTCCATCAATTCTGGCTCCTGTCCACTAACATTTTGATAGTGGAAGTGCCAAACAGTATGGAAAAACATTGCCAGCCTATTTTGGATTCTGTGATGCAATGGATACTCAGTTGGAAGCCCAGTTTGCATCCTAAGATGTTAAATGTTTCTGAATATCAAATTTTGTCTGCCAAATCTTCAACCAATAATAGCAAGCCTTTGATTAGAAGATCCTTCAGTGAAGCAATATAGACATAATTTTGTAATACTGTATTGTGCTTCCATTTTATTTTAATTTGTAAGCCGCTGTGGGAATGTTGATATGTATTGAAGATACAGTGTGTACTTTTCCAAAATAAATTACTCTGCTCAGTGTAACCCTGATTAAAAGTGTGTTTGGAGACTGTAGTTGGCAAAATGCCAGTGCAAAAATTTTACCTTCAGAATGGATAAATATGCCATGGTGTAGGCCTAAACCTGAGCTCATACCCATGTCCAATTGATTCATTTTGCCAGGGTCATTCTAGGTGTCTGTTTTGGAGCTCTATCTCCCAGAGCTCCTCAGTAAACATAGGAGCTGCCTGATATTGGCATTAAGGGAGAGGCCATTTGGGAGCTATCCTACTGAGAGCTTGTGTCACCTCTTTATTTCAGAGGTTAATGAGACTCTCAGTTGAGTTGTCTTGCAGATCTGCTGGCAACTGATGAGATCCATAAGATGCCATAATACTGGACTCTGCTGTGCAAAAGAGTAGAATAACATATGATTAAGTAAAAATGGTTTTAAGTTACTTAAACTGTGATCAAGATATGTATGTTTGTCTTCCTAAATCCAATTTATATTAATATTTTGCAGCAGAATCATTATGTTAAAGAAGTTGTTCATTATCAGCACAGAGAAACTCCAAAGCAGATAATCAAAATTATTATTTGTATTGTCTTTCTTATAAATAGTCAACACTTACTGACTTACTCTGGAATACGGACTCATTTTTGTCTCTCCTCTTTTACATTGATAGCCCCGAGCTGTTGCCGGTTTTAGAGGTACAGTGCGGTATGCATCAGTCAATGCTCACAGAAATAGAGTGAGTATTAGCATTTACATTAGCCTGAATATTTAATAACTGAAAATTATGCATGATGTGTCTATCATACGTTTTCCCTTTTCTATATTTTTCTGTATGAATTATAATTCAACTGCTTGAAATATCAAATGTGTTTACAAGTAGACAGTGACTGCATATGATTTAATCAGATGGGATGTTCTAGCAATAGAAATAATATTATAGTTGAGCTTTAGTTTAAAAAATGTATTACTGTTTTAATTTTTTGCCAGGATAGAAGTACAGAAATGAGTAAATGGTTGGAATGAGTACTATTATTATTATATGTGTGTGCATATATAAATATATACTAATTGTATTGAAAGATTATACTTGAATTTTTGGTGTCCCAGATTTATTTAAGCATATATATGAAACTTCAGAGTTTTTTAAAGAATATAGTTGGTTTTAAAGAATGAATGTGGCATGTAAGTGAAGTGTACATTTCTGGACTAAAAGGAATACTAATTTAAATATAATAGTCATCCCTGAGTTCTATGAAAGCAACAACATTTAATGCCATGGTTACACGTTGGCAAGTGGTATATGTACACACTTTTCTTCATACGTCTCAGGCTTTAGAAGCAGAGGGAAAACAGGGACTTTCATATTGTATTTGTACTAAACAGGTGTTTAAAACAAACCCTGGCTATTTGAATGAACTGTTGCAAGCCAGCTCAATACCTAACCAGTTTACACTGCACAAAAGACATAGATGTAGAAGATGCCTACTGCTTTGGCTTCAGTGACTTTGGTCCTGAGCACAGCAATTACTGCCACTCCAGCATACCTATTTACTTCAGTTTCTATAGACCTCCTCTCTAAATACAAAAGAGAAAAAGGAAAGAAGCAATCTTCTTAGCATGCTTTGGAAGTGCTGCCATCTAAGGAGAGGAAGAAAGCTTTGCTAACCTTTCTCCAACAACATTACAAGCATCTAATGAGGACCTCAAGAAGCCCAATGCAGAAGTCATTCATTTCACTTCCACTGGACTTATTCTCTTCAGTGTAGCAGATTGTCACAGCATGGGCCGCTTCTGTTGCAAGAGAGTTTGGGCAGAATTAATCTTTTTAATAAGAGATTGATTTTTGCTGACAACCAGATATCTCAGCTGGAAGATCATGGGAACTCTGTTGATTCATTTATACCTGATTTAATGAAATCTAATAAGGCATTGCAGGGAATCATGTACTTAAAATATCTTATTGATCCAGTTTATATGTGATAATAATCAAGATCAAGAAGAAACCCTGTTTTCTTTTATAGAAAATTGTCAGCTAGATATTAAGAAGGCCTGTTGCATTTCAGCCTTTTCTGTTTGTACAGTTGATAAGCCTTGACCATTTCATGTGAACTTTCTTAGATTTCCCATGAGAAACAAAATTGTAGAGAAAGCTTAATCATCATGGGTCAATGAATGGGGAAAAAAAGTCCTGTATTATGTTTTGCCATGTTAGGGATGCCATGCCATATTAAGAATGCCCAACGAAAAGCTTGTGAGAAGAATTTTAAATATTTTATTAGATAAAGAAGTAATTAGATAAAAAAGTTAGTTATTAGATAAAGAAGTCATTAGATAAAGCACTGGTGTATGCAAGCGAAGGAAGGAGGGCGTGGTGTGTGCATGCGAGCAAGCAAAGGGGGAAGGAGGGCCAAGAAATCCCCGAGCCACAGCATGGCAAGCAGCCCCAGATTCTCGGGGTTCTGGGGCTGCTTGCTGCCCCACAAGGCAGGGTGCAGAGCAACCGAAAGGGCAGAGATGTGGGGGAGAGATATGCAGATGGGGGGAGTAGGAGGCAGTCCCTTACTTTACTGAGGCTCAAAGCTGGGAGGGACCAAGCCCAGAATGGCTTAGATTGGCGTGGGTCCTTGGCTAATGACCGTAGAATTCACTTAAGGATAGCAGTGGGGAGTGCCGAGATTGCCGTCACTAAGTGATGCAGTCATGTGACATCTCGCTTTATGACTACATCATTTAGCAATGGAAATTCTGGTCCCAGTTGCGGTCGTAAGTCGTCAGTCAGGCTGTCAGTTTCTAATTAGATAATTGTTTGATGTAGTTGAATTTTGACAGAAGGAAAGGATGATAAACTGCAGGGTTTTTTGCATCTGTAACTAACCCCTTTTCTTCTCTCCTTCCTTTTCTCCCCCCTCCCCAATTCTCTTTTTTCTCATGGGGCTTGGTAAAATGCATGTATTTTAACATTTCGATTAGCAGAAATAGTCTCCCTTCTTTTTCTCCCCCACTGGTTCATAAAATTCTATTACTAGTTCTATTATTAATTATTAAAATATGTGAAGATGCTAGGGTGTGCTGTGCAATAATCCTAACTACTGCAGAATGGGATGCACAAATTTTATTTTTATTATATTTCCTTCTTATTGGTTTATTTTTTCCTACTATTTCTGTGGATATTTTAGGGCTGGAAGTAAAATATTGATACACTTAACAGATACAGTAAGTTTGATCTAGTGGTTTGATCAGAGCCTGTTTGGTCTAGTGGTTAAGACACCAGGGTAGAAAGCAGGAGACTGTGAGTTCTAATCCCACTTTAGGCATGAAAACTGGCTGGATGGCTTTGGGCCAGTCACTCTCTCTTAGCCCAACTTACCTTACAGGGTTGTTGTTGTGGGAGGAAATAAATAGGAGGAGGAAGGAGTGTTAGATATGTTTGCCGCCTTGAGTTATTTATAAAAATAATAAAGGCAGGATTAAAAAAAACCTTTAAAAAGTACTTTACTTCTTGTTCTCTGTTTCTAATGTTAATTTTAATGATAGTTTCCTTTATGACATGGAACGTCAATGGATTGGGTGATTTTCATTTTTAAACTGGCATTAGATTCTTGCTTGTGCTATTAAAAATTCTGGGGAAAAAATGGAAATTGTGGTAGTGGAGGCAGACTATAAGATTGTGCTGTATATAGATGGGCCAGAAGTTTATATTCTTAATCTCATTTAACAATACTACATGTTTGGTATCCTGACTGACCACTCTGTAAATTATAGCAAATAATACCAGTAGTTCTTAATAATTTTCACGTATTTGGAAGTTTAGGCTCTGTTCTGATACCATTGTTTACCTTGAATTAAGGAATCTCAGGAAGCTTTCTCATCAGGTAAACTTGAATTTATTCCCCAATCTGTCAGAAATAAAAAGATATGGAAAAATAGTCTAGCATTTCTTTGGATATTTGGAATAAAATAAATGTAATCAGGATGAATTTAATTGAGAAGTTGAGCTTTTTTTATAATACAGTGGAACCTCAGTTTACGAACTTAATTCGTTCCGTGACTT